CCCTCTCCCTCTTGCTAGAAAAATATGTAAACACTCCTCTCCTTGGAGAGGAGAGGATATATGATCCCATACCTTCATCAGATCTAAAAAGGATCCAATGGGTCTTGTATTTTATCGATCATTCATCTTTATCAAATGAAAGAAGATCCGACTCACCCAAGATCGGGTGAATCTTCTCCTTTATCTATATTTTGTCGCCATTTAATGTTATTCAATGCATCTTTCTTTATGCTATTAAATCTGGCTATAATCACGCCCAATATTTATACTCGGCTATGTTTTTCTACTCGTATTATTCGTCTCGGATCTAGAGTTAATTATCTTTAACTAGGATTTACCCCTTCATCTTTGATTGATTTGCTCAAAAGGTTTAGATAACTTTTGAGTCAAACAATTTGGCGCCGTCTGTGGGGATTTTCTAGTTAAAATTTTAGTTTCCTCTAGATCTCAAATTCGATTATAGCAAGTTCTTGTGTAGCTTCTACAGCACATACATTTACCACAGCTTTTGCTTGCTAAAGACCAATAAAATCTTCATGCATCACATGTCACGACTTTCTGAAAGAACATTTCCATGTAAATGTTACTNNCTTTTCACTCGGCGTCACCATCGCCACTCTCTTCACCACCATATCCAAGATATCCTCCCTCGGCATCGGCATCCTCAGCTGCAACCCATACTAGTCGACTTCCACATCCGAATTTCTCGAACTACGATTAATGAGGTCCGCTCACCGAGCTCGACCAAGAGACGACCTCGATAAGCGGAGGGACTAACTGTATGGGTCAAAATTAGACCAGAGAAATTCGGCACGCGAAGACATAAAGCCAAGGTCGGACAGACCAAGGTCGGGCCGTCATCAATGAAGCCAAGGTCGGGCCGTCATCAATAAAGCCAAGGTCGGACCGTCATCAATAAGGTCATGGTCGAACAGGCTGAGGACGGACAGTCATGAAACTGCTAGTTTGCTTTGGAATACTCAAAAGGAATATTCTACCGAATATTCTCTCTAAATTGTACCTTTTGTTAGGATTTTTTATGGATACCCCCCTTATAAATAGGAGGGGAGGACTTCCCATTTGGGGGGCTCGGGCTCTCCCTCTCCCTCTTGCTAGAAAAATATGTAAACACTCCTCTCCTTCGAGAGGAGAGGATCTATGATCCCATACCTTCATCAGATCCAAAAAGGGTCCAATGGGTCTTGTATTTTATCGATCATTCATCTTTATCAAATGAAAGAAGATCCGACTCACCCAAGATCGGGTGAATCTTCTCCTTTATCTACATTTTGTCTCCATTCAATGTTATTCAATGCATCTTTCTTTATGTTATTAAATCTGGCTATAATCACGCCCAATATTTATACTCGGCTATGTTTTTCTACTCGTATTATTCGTCTCGGATCTAGAATTAATTATCTTTAACTAGGATTTACCCCTTCATCTTTGATTGATTTGCTTAAAAAGTGTTAAACAACTTTTGAGTCAAACAATATAGTTTCCCATTGCCGGCTCAGAATCATTGAGTATGTGATTTTGGCGTAAAAAATTAGATAGTCGTTTCAGAAAATAATGGCCGATATATATATATATATATATATATATATATATATATATATATATATATATGGGTAATTGTGTAAAAATAGCCAGCGTTGTAGGTTAGCAAAACCCTTTACCAAGAAGACATAGGGGAAAGGGGGGACTATTCGTCTAGGTCTATTCTGTAAAAATAGCACCGACTAGCCAGTTTTCGGACTGGTCATTCAAAAATAGCCAGCATTTGCAAAGTCATTAAAAAAAATAGCCATTATATTGCTGCAACAGGGACCGGTCCAGCATAATATACTGGAGATCGGTATACTTGTGTATGAACTTCCAGCATATTATGCTGGAACTCCAACACGCGAAAAGTTCCAGCATAATATACTGGAGATTGGAGCACCTGTGTATGAACTTCCAGCATATTATGTTGGACTGATATATTATACTGAAACTCCAGTATATTATGCTGGAGTTCCAGTATACTTATGCTGGAACTCCATTATAGTATACTGGAAAGTATTTTCCGGATTTTGAACAGTGTTTTTGTTCAAATTTATCTTTACATGAAAAGTGACTAAATTTCGATTACTTTTGAAACTGTAGCTATTTTTGAATGACTACTTGTAAAACTGACTATTTTTTAATTTCTCCCACTGGTATTAGTAAAAGTAATACCACGTGATTGGGTGCAACATTTACATGGGCGAATTCCTCTCTAACGAACNGAGTGTTGTTAATTTAAGTTTGAAAGCATAACATAAATTTTTGAAAATACGGTCCAATTTATAAAATAGAATGATAAAAATTATTTGAATTTGAGATGAGAAAGTTATTTAATTTTTATCNTATAAAATAAAACTAAAATTTACTTAAGATGTTAAAGATTTATTGAGTTTAAAATTAAAGAGATTCAAGAAGCAAAATAAGATCTTACATAAAATATATAAATTATTTATAAGTTAAGAAAAAATTAAATAATCAATAAAAACTATTTTAATAACAAGAATAATAAAGTCATATTAATATTGATAAATCGCGCAAACAAATACTTTATGCATAAAATATTATAACGTTTAGATATAATGTGTTCAAATAATTAAGAAAATATTTTTGTATGATTAATATTTGAATTTGAGATGAGAAAGTTATTTAATTTTATCTATATTATATTACAAAGAGTGTGGTAGAATACATATTAAATTCAAACAAGATAATAAAAATCCACATGACAGTGTAATAATATTAGGAATTGAATAATATAATATCAAAAATAAATAATAAACAGAGAAAATAATTAAAATTTAGATTTTTTATCATAGAGAAAAAGGGTAAAACTAATTTAAATTTGAGATGAGAAAGTTTTTAATATTATGATAAGAAAAGTCATAATATGGATAAGTTCACGTAACTCAAGTCTAATAGATAAAGTCAAAAACTAAAAAATTGAATATATGAATAAATTAGAGATAATAAGTGGATATTTATAATCATACGTTTATAAAATAAAATAAAGTAAATATACAATACTTAAAAATATTATTAAAAATTAAATAATTTAAAATTTCCCAGCAATATTTTTAAAACAAAATAAATATTTATTGTATGATTAAAAAAATTATATATTTATCCATATTATATTAAAGAATAGTAGTTGATAATGATATTAAATAAAGTTACAAGTTAAATAAAAAGTCACATATCGTAATAAGACTATATATTAGATTAAAAAATAGCAAAATTATGTTAAATTATTAAAAATTTACTATTAGAAATGAAAGGGAAAGACTATTTGAATTTGAGATTAGAAAGTTCTTAAAAGCCAAATTTGTATCAATAGATTACAAAATAAATGCACGTAATACAAAAAATAATTATAAGATAATTCAATAAATTTGAAACATTATAAAAGAACTTATATATATATATATATATATATATATATATATATATATATATATATATATATAGACTAATTCATCATTATATTTTAAAACAAAATGTGATATGTATGTTCCCGATAGAGAACTATCAAATATAAGAAAAGTATCATACTCAGTTTGAATTTTTAATTGAATAGAAAATTGAAGTTCTGTTTATTTTGAGTATAGGTAAAGAAATTATGTATAAAGAGGAAAATAGAGATAGTGCGAGGATACTTATATTTTTTAAATTTACTAAAAATAAATAAATTAAATTATTAAATAGTAGTCAAAAATATTATTAATACATTTAAATGATGAAAGAGATCCGAGTAAGTGGATAATAGTGTAAAAATACATTAAATTTCAAGAATAATTTTTTTTTCATTTATTGATGATTACTAAAAGGGTAATAAACAAGATTAATAAAAGATCACATTATAGTATCACAATATTAAGTAATAAATAATGCAAAAACTATAAGCAAGGAACAAAAAAGAGAAAAAAATTATATCTAAAAATGTAGAAGGATAAGGATATTTGAATTTGAGATGAAAAATAAAGTGGTAGTAAGAATTTTGTTAAAATAATATAATTTAATTTGCTCAAACAAAACAGATCACAATGTTACATGTATAAATTCCTTAATATTGACCGTAAAATATAATACAAGTGTCAAAATCAAGGGGTTGGGTTATTACAGATATAGAAAAAGAAAACAAATTATCCACTATGAAATTTAAAAAATAATTTCATGTCCCGCTTCTTAATTAATATCAAAATTTAATTTATAATTTATAAATAGAAGGTTTAATTTAAGGTTATTTGCATATAATTTAAATAACTCAAATCATAATTTGATATATTTTATGTCCGTGCATCGCGCGGGTACTAATACTAGTGTTACTTAACATGAAATACTCTACAAACAATTCTTTTAACATTTTATCAACACAATATCTTTTTAAATACCGATAACTAAATCTAAAATCTAAAAGGAAAATTTCTGCTTTTAGTATAAATCCTTAAATTTGATTTAGCATAAATTAATTGAGATGTGCACTTTAATCCTTCTAGCTGTTAATCATGACAAATTATTAATTTCTAAAGCGATTAAATAACCATGTGCTACGTTAATTGTGTATGTTCAAAACTCTAATATGTAACATATTTCCTGTCTAAAGGGACCAAAAACACAATTTATAATTAATACAAAAGATTGAGGGAAATATAAACAATAATTGAGGGATAAAAATGCGTACCTACAAAAGTGTTAGAAATGTTATTTTCAGTAAAACAACGTAACGTAAGTAGGTGTGTCAACTTCATAGGACGACGTTGACGAGATGCCACATCACAAATTAATCGTGAACGTATGTGCTGTTTTGATAAATATAAAAAACAGAATGAAAATTATTGATGACAACGAAAAGTAAGGGTATTGATTTTGTAGAGACGCGGCGAACCTGCAACGTGTCAACTCTTTGTACTGTACGCGGCGAATTGTCACTTCATCTTCCACCCATTATATCCTTTTTCTTTCATTAAAAAAAACAGTATCTTCGTTCTTATCCTTTAAGCTTCTGACAAATAACAACTCATCTTTCCACCTTCCTTGTCTGAAAAAAAACACTCTGATTTTATTTATGTATGTTGTTTTAGTTAGAATTTGAGACTAAGAAATTTAAATCTGTGTAAGAGATCAATAACTGCAACTTCATTCGATCATTGATGATTTGGGGTTATATTGGTAATATATTGGTGTTGAAAAAAGAACAAATTAAATAATGGTGATGGGGAAATTTAAGATTTTTGCTTTTGGAGAGAGAGAGAAATATTGTGTGGGTGTATTTGATGAAGAAGAAATGGAGGAACATAGTGAAAAGTCACCACCAGCTGAGGATGATCACTGTCCAATTTGTTTTGGGGACTTCACAATTCCTTGCAGGACAAACTGTGGGCACTGGTTTTGTGGTACTACTACTTTCGATCCTTCTTCGTTTTTTTTTTTATTTTTTCTACAAATAATATGTTTGTTAAAGCCTCTAATATAAAAAGAAAAAAAAACTCATTCAGACAAATCATAGATCAGATGATCTTTTAAAAGCTATATAAATTGCAGTAATTGTATGTTTTCCTTAACACCCCCGTTTTGCCCTGTATTCTGCAGCATCTTGCATATTGCAGCTATGGAATTATAGATCAACATTACAGCCGTGCAAATGCCCCATATGCTGTCGTCCAATCAGTAAGCTGGTTCCCGAGGATTCTTTAGTTGTACAACAGGAAGAGGATGCTGTTGAACTCCTTAATGACATTCGCCGATACAATCACCTATATGTAGGTGGTGCTTATGGTGTGTTTCTGGTAGGTAATTGGTTACTCTTTTTCTTGCTTATTTTATTTGTGACTTCTTTCCTAATTGATTATTTTTAGACTGTATTAGCATCTTCAGCGTTAAGGCTAATTGGCTAATTGATCTGCAACAATTAATAATGGAGCTTATGATAATACGGTATTGACGCGCAACATATGTGCTCTCTGTACAAATACAAATTGATTCTATTACTTATGATATATGAATCATTTCTCTGTTATCAGTAGAAATAGAAGATTGTCCATATTTAGTAGGAACTGAATAGAGATTTCATCTCATAGGAAGTACACCTAGAAAGACCGGAAATCTTGTGTTGCTGAAGATTGTCTATATTTAGTAATTTTGGATATTTTGCAATGGAGGAGACAACTTTTTTTTTTTCCTTTTCTTTGTGTGTGTGCTGTGTTTGGGTGGGGTGGGGGTGGGGGTGGGGGGGATCTAATGCTTTGTACAACAATTGTAGACTAAGCATCATCTTCTAAATTTCTTGTTCTGAAGTTTTACTTGAGTGTTCTATGGTTATAGGTTATAATCCAACATTGAGGACCTCAATTTGAGGTGCGTCCACTTACTTAATAAAAATAAAAATAACATTCCCGTGCATCGAAGTCTAGTTTTGCTGACTCTGATTCGCTATAGCAATTGCTTTGGAAAAATTTTGTCAAGGTTAGAAAGAACTCACCTATTACGAGTTACCTGCGAATTTCTTCCTTGAGAGAAACCCTAAAAAATAAAGCGAGTAATGGGTCAGGAAGTGATACAAACAGATATCTACACTTAGATTCTTACTTTTGGTTGCATGTCGTTTGGTTGTTATGTGGTAAAGTAGCTATACAGGGATGTCCCTTGTAGATGCAAACTGCTTCTTACCCATTATGGTCTCATTTCTGAAAGAAGTGATCTTGTAACATGGTTAACCAGACAGGTAGCGTAGGCGGTCTTAGTATCACGAGTTTATTTTAGCACAGCCTGAATTGTTTGCCTGTGTTAGTGCATGGTAACCAATCCTGAAGAAGACTTCAAGTAAGCTAAAGGGATATAAGGGAATAGAATTGCTGATGAATTCCATCTTGTGTGCACCAAATGATTGAGGTTTTCGAGATGAGAGCTTGTCACAAACCCTTCCTTGGCCTGAGCAGCTCAACTATGTTCAGATTAAGTTTTATATCGCTAAACTGTTTGTTGACAGAAGTCATTTTCGAATTGCCTGAGCAATATTTCAAGATCTTTCAAGACGCTAGTCTTGACAGCTAAATTAAATCCCTGACTAATCGGATATGTTTGGTTCACCACTTTTGTTGTATATCTGCGGTGGACGTAACAGTTAAATCTCTACAATCTTGGCATATTAAAGTTAGGCATCACCAGTCATTTGAAAAATAAAGAGAAGCATTAGAAACATATATAATGTAAGAGAGCAAGCTCAGTGGAGTTGGATGTTTGCTTGTTATATAATGTTCTGCTGCTCTTTTGAGCCCTTGATTTTTCTCAGGGGTTTAGGTCGAGTTATGTCCTTTACCTGGTGATAGTATCAAAATAGTAATAAAAATTTTATCCTCAATTTCAAGTGTAAGTATTAATCATGCATATACACACAGGAAATGTTTGAGTTTAGAACTTTAGAATCAAATGATTCTTCCGAGTTCTGATTTGATGGCTTCTCTTCTTTTCTTCTTTACAGAAACTAGTTGCCTTGCCACTGCTAATGCAGAGAATTCTCAGGTCATTGATGAGCAAACTGATGGATCCTGATCATGTCAAGTTAAATTGTTATGTACTGCGCCTTTTTGCTGTAAGTCCATTGAACATTTAATTAACGGCATTGTAATAACTTTTTGAATTCTTGTTTCCACTTACACAAAGGTAAAGGACAAGTACATACATTGAAATGCTTGGAGGTCTTTGAAATGATTGGAGGTCTATAAAGACGGGTGTCTACTGTAATGCTTTATGATTTCTGCAACAGTATGTAACAGTACCCAATAGACGCTTCTGATATATTCCTTAGACCTGCCTTCTCTAAGGTCATAATATTTAGGGCATGATAGCATATATTCTTTCAGGCCCTCCTAGGAGAATTTTAGCAGAACTCTCTGCATAATTGTAGTTACATACTTTTCTCATCTTTGGCATGGGTAGATCTAAAATTCCTATAATATTTTTATAGTTGAACCTAAGTACTTTGCAATGCAAAACCAAAGACCATCCACAGTTATCAAGCATTTCTTCTGTTCTTCATGGTGTATATATTGCTTTGTGATATGAATGGTCCCATTGACTGTTAATACTCGAGTATCTATTATAATAATTATTCGCTTTTAGTAATATCTTTTCGTTAACTGCAGTTATTGCTGAGTTGGATCTACAGCAGCTGGAACTTTAAGTTTATTCCTACTGGTACTATGCTTCACTCTAATATATAGAAAATTAGATGTATAGATTGGAAATCTATTATGTGGAAGCCAAGCCTAGTAGGCTGCATGACCATCTGAATGCATAAAACCTTGGGTGGATAAGATTAGAAATCTTCCTTTCAAAGGGGTAGCTAGTTTTGAAATCAATCATCCAGTAACATGTGATTTTGTGATTCAGGTTGAAACCTAATCAAGAACTTGAAGTTATTTCTTTAGCTTCTTAACTGTTTTATTCAACCATTCTATTCGTACAGTTACCTCCTTTGGTGGCCCTTTTGGCAACCAATTGTGAGAAATATCCAAGTTAGCAATCTTGAAACATGATGATTTCTGGTGTAGCCTAAAATGAGCATTTTTGCACTAAACTCATTCATCAGTTCCAATTCCAGAGTCCAGTTTGGTTATGCACAGAGATTTTAATCTCGTTTGAACCTATGTTGACACAATACTCTCTTTTGTAGGACGTCTGGGAATATGGAGACTACTTGACATTTGTGCTATGGCCTTTGTGGCCATTTTCTATTTGGCTGGCCTATTCCGTAGATGGGCACTTAGGCGTCATGTGAGGTTGTTAGCTATTTTACAAGCTCAGCCGAGTTAAAAGTCCATGCTGTGAATAGATTTTGCATTTTGATAGTCGGATAATGAGCTTATATGCTGCGACATGGACATTGCGGATTCATGCAGCTGACTCCAACTTGTTTGAGATTGAGACATAGTAGTAGTTGTTGTAGAGTTGAACAACGATTAGAGCTATTTAGCTTGCTGAAGATCTTGTATAGAAGGTCTGTTTAAAAAGATGAAAGGAATTAACTCCTACTGTATAGGCCATGGCAGTCACCCTCTGAGCTGCAGATTGTATAGCTTAGATATGCAGTAATATAGATGTATGTTTTTTGGGGAAAAAACAATCTTCAGCATAATGAGTTCCCTCTGCTGCTTTCAGAACTGCTGAGCTTCAAGTAAAGGTTCTTTTTGTTCCCATTTCCAAGTTTTATTCAGGTAGTGCATTGAGGTTATAGTTTAGTGCATTTTGGAGTTGTAGAACTGACCCATATGAATGCAAAATGCCTTTGGTAACTGAAGCATATCTATTCAGAGGTCAAAATGCATCTCCTTGACGTACATTTACAGCTTGTTTGGATGGTTGTTCCCCGTTGTATTGTATTGTATTGTTATCACAAAACAATGTTTGTTTTGATTGTTTCATTAAAATTGGTTGTATTGTATTGTTAAATTCATTGTTCCGGAATAACGAAAAGTCCCCTTTTTTGAAACAACTGATTTGGTGTGGTGGGATCGTTTCCTATTTCTCTTTCCAATTATGCCCTAATTTATTACTCAACAATTCTATTTTACCCTTTTCCTTTTTTTTTTTTTAACTCCAAATCGCCAACCTATAACCTACTTTGTTTTTGTTTTTCCAAGTAGTTTTACCACCAACGTTAAAGGTATTTTGCCGCCTTTTATTTTATTTTTTCTTCTAATTTGCTTTTAACTCAATTCTAATTAATTGTGCTCCTTTGTTTTGCTTTCTTCTGTTCTGCTTTCTTAAGGTGTTTTGTCTTCCTATTTTTGTTTTTTTTTAAAAAAATTATTTTATGCATAACTTTTGATAAATGTAATATTTTTACACAATTGAGGGTATTTTTGTAAACTTATCAGTTACAATACAGTACGATACAGTCAAATCAAATAGCAAAATATTATTTAACAATAACAAACAATACAATTTATCCAAACGATACGGTACAATACGATACGGTACAATACGATACAGTACAATACAATACATTATAAGACGACGAGGAACAATGAACCAAACAGAGTGTTAGTGAGCTTTTGGACATAAGAATTGTAAAATTCCAAATAATACGTTAAAATGGTATTTGAAAATTAGAGTTAGTGTTTGGACATGAATATAATTTTGGGTTGTTTTGAACTTTTGTGAGTGATTTGATTAAAAATTTTGAAAAACAACTTTTTGGAGTTCTTTAAATTTACGGAATATTTCAAATTTCATTTTTAAGCGAAAATTGAAAATTTTATGGCCAAATCCTGATTTCGAAAAAAATAAATTCTCTTTTATGTCACACGGGCTCTCAATTGCTTCTTTTTTTCTGGTTTTGGGGGGGGGGGGGTTATGTTATCCAGGCTATTTTCTTGTTAAAATGTGCAGTGCTATGTGCTTTTTTAGTATTGCTACGTCTAAGGATCTTAGTGTCTTATTTCCTTTTGCACATGAATATTCACTTTGAATTTTAAAGAGAACATTAGAAAGCATATTTATTTTTATTTTGAAGAACCTATGCCATGCACCTGTCCTTCCATAGTTTTTATTTTTTATTTTTTATAATCACGATTATTGTCATAATCAGCAAGGTTTAAACTTTTAAGAAAAATTTTCGAATTGAGAGGACGAACCTCCCAGTGAACCGAGTGTACCACAAACCGATATAGGTGATAAGTAGTGGATACTAGCGTATATGAGAAAATCATATCGAAGGGAATCAGTACCCGTTTACTTCGGGAAAAGAGGTGCTCTCCTCTCTTTTTTTATTTTTTATTTTATAGTATTAACAAGTGGCTAAAAGGATCTTTTGTTGCATAATTTAGTTATGTTTTAGGATTTGTTTTGAGATTATTATAGATTCTTAGTCGATGATAAGTAGGGGTGTGTATTCGAATCGTTTTATCGATAAATCGAATCTATTATTTGTTATCGAAATCGAGAAAATCGAGACCTTATTGAAACGATAACGATAAGCATATGTACAAATCGATAATCGATAAGTAATTATCGATAAGGGTCAAAATCAAATCGATAAATCGAATGCACACTCCTAGACTGTAGACACTTGTTAAATGAGTTACTAACTATTTGTGTAGATTAATATAACATACAGAATGTATATATATTCCGCTACTATTTTGAAAGCGGCTGTACAATATTATTTTTCCTAATCTATACCCTTTCCTTTACCTAAGTCCCTTACCCTATTATTTCCTCCACCACATTTAAGGAATGATCATATTTAAAGATCAAGGAAATGAAGTTCAAATTAATAGAAAATAGAATTAGCAGTGATGATGTGTTTTGTTTTGTTTTGTTTTGTTTTTTTATACCGTTGGAGTGTTGGTGGCATACATTTGATCCCTTACTTTAGTTTTATTGCATGTGCTTGTTGACACAATTTTTATATTATAAATGGCGTTCGTCTTATTTTAGCTTCTTTTTGTCCATATTAGTTAGGCGCGTTTATAGCGATATACTTTCCGTGGAATCCCGTAAATTTTCTTATTGGTGTAATCGATAACCGAATCGATAAGCCCCCAAAATCGATAAATCGAAATCGAAAAAATCGAAACCTTATTGAAACGATAACGATAAGCATATGTACAAATCGATAATCGATAAGTAATTATTGATAAGGGTCAAAATCGGATCGATAAATCGAATGCACACCCCTAATAATAAGTGACGCACTAACGAGTTCTGTTGTTTTGTTCACCCTAATATATGAGGAGAAAAATATTTTAAAACTAAATTGATTTTTGATATGGTAAGTTTCTTTACTAATTATGGTAGCATCTTATCTTAAATAGCACGATCAGAATCTTTTCTTGCATATTGAATAATCAACGAAAAGAGAGAATTTTACTTTATTTCCTTAACCTTTAAGTGTTGGGAAATGATGTCCTCTCGACCTTTTGAATAGGAACGATAGCCCCCTTACGGGAATATTTTCTTGTGAGACTAAGAATTTTAATACAAAGAAAAAAAATATTATTGTCTTTTTCTTTATTCTCTTAAAAATTTCTTTTAATCCAAAGTCATAAGAGTTTCCAAAAACATGCTAGTCACCTCGATTACTGTCCTTCTTTACCTATTTAAATGGCTTCTTTGTTGGTTTACTTGCTCAGGGAAGTGGTATTGGTCAAACAATAAAATCCCTTGTCATTTGGTCAACTGGTTTAATAATAAACAAAATATGAGAACAATCCAGTACTTGGAATATGAACAACCAGAATACATTTTTAAAGTTAAAATGACATTGTTTGGCTCAAAAGTTAATAATATACTTTGTAAGCTAAAAAACAATCAAAAGTAGGAAAGGGGTAAATCGTAATCAAATATAATAATCCTAGAGATGCAAAGATGATAATATTGTTGTAGATCTAGTATTGCAAAGAGACAGTATGAACTCAATAAGATACGTTCGTTTGAAGTAGAGATAGAGAGAGAAAGCCAGAAATTAGAGAGAGTTGTATTAGATCAGATGCCCTTTTTACAATGTGAAGGTCTCCTTTATATAATAGGAGACCTTCCTCGAAAGAATCAAAAAGTTACAAAGATAGGTAACGTCTCCCTAGTGAAGACATTGAGTCCTAAACGATGTCGCTTTTACCCCCACGGCCGAGTCGTACCCGCTACGTTGGCAGGCGTAAACTTATTGGGCGTACCCACTGGCGTAGAGATGCTGAGGGTCAAATTTGACCCTATATAGTTAGTCCCTCCGCTCGTTGGAGACGCATTCGGTGGGCGTCTTCGAGGGGCGGAAACGTGAACCTCGGCTTAGGAGAATTTGACCTCGACCCGGGGCGGCAATACGAATGTAGTGAAATATATGACATTGTTGAGCCACTGACGCGCGACTTCCTTTTTGGAATGACGTCATCGCCTGTATGCGTCATTATTAGATTTGCCCCCGAGGCGGTTCAGAGGATGATGTGACATTTTGGTTTCCGGCGCACGTTTTGATCATGACTCTTCGATTCCTGTGCAACTTATCCCTATAAGTATGAGAGAGGTTCAATTTGATTCCACTTTCAATCCTTCGGAAAGCATTTTCCGATATACCCCTTTGTCTTTCTTTACTGTAACCGTTACTTTGTGACTCTCCCACTTCTGTTGAAACCACACTTCCTATCGTCAGTGCTTCGTTTCTTAAGTAGTATAATCATGACAAAACGCGGACAGGGTAGTAAAAAGGCCAAAGATAATGCCCCGTCTAGGGTTCCGCCATTTTCCGGTGGTGAAGGGGAAAAGGCGGAGAAGGCCCTTGTTCCTCTCAGCGTAGACAACGTCCTTCCGAAGGAGACGCATGTTCGCAGGGATTTTCCAACTAAAAGCCCTGACCTTCCCTGGGAGCACAGTGTTTTGTTACAATCTCATTTAGATGATCTTCGAGAGACGCACCATATTCCGGACCACGTGGAAATGGTTCCGGCCGGGACGGACTATGCCAATGTGCACCGGCCTAGATATTGCACATTCTATGAGTACCCGTTCTTGATCGGTTACAATCTTCCGGTCTACCCTCTGATGGAGGAGCTTTGCCGTTTTTATAATGTATGTCCGGCCCAGCTCACTCCTTATACCTTGAAGGTGTGCCGTATTATGACCACTTATGCGGCCAGGGCTGAATGCAGCGTCTCGGTTCACCACCTCTTACAGTTATTCAGCGCTGGTTACCTGAGGGGTACCATGCTGCAGTTAAAAGGTCGGGGCACAAGGGGCTTAGTTGTTAAAGCCGATGATAAGCCCAACCGCCGCTTTTAGCATAAGTATTTCTACATCAGGACGGAGCACCTGGTGTCGAATCCCGAAGGGTTCCCAGAAAGATGGAATCCAGAACGTAAGTATTTCTATTCGTAGAATTCAGGGCTGCTTGCGCTTTTGACCATACGGCCATTGTGATTTCTTTGCTTTTCTCCCCTTTTTATTTGCAGCGAGGGCTTCTCCACCCCAGCTCATTGATGACATTAAATCGTGGGTGGAAAGAATAATACCTTATGCGGAGGGATGCCGTACCTGGGTTGCATTTCTTCAGCAGTACGACCCGTCAGGTAATTCTTTGGCTACGATTTGGGAATTCCCTATGCTCTCGTTTCCTGACTTATTCGTGTTGGCAGGTCGGAGCGCTCCTAAGAAGAAGATAAAGAACGTCGTCACCTTACCTGGGGCGGGGACTGATTCTGAAGACGGGTATATACCCCGTGGTTCGCCTAGTGAGAGCGTTGCGGGGGTTCCTCAACCGCTGCCCGCAGTGGCGTCCATGAGGGGAGCGACTCCTTCTATGCCCTCCCCACGGGCTGTGGAGGAGACTTATGAGAGCGAGGAGCCGCCAGAAAGGAAAAGACGTCG